ACAAGAGATAATTCATTTATAGTCTGGGGGCTGAATTATCCCTCCCCTGAAAGAATCTGGCTCGTCGGTCTTTGTTTTTAGTTTTAGGGAGTCATATGATATGTAACCTCCACGTGGTTGACTCCGGACAACATGATAACACAGCTAATAGCATATCAAATTTTTATTTAATAATAAAGATAAATTTTAAAATTGTATTTCTAATTAATTACATGTATTAATTTAAAATTGTTAATAAAATAAATATTTAATGACTGAGAATCTCGTTTATAAATTTAAAAAAATGAAGTTTATAAAATTAATTATCATTTTATTTTTTCTTGTGTTTTCTCATGCTGATAATAAACATAACATCGATGAAAATAAAGTTTTATTAATCGAAAAGATAATTAATGAAACATTACATTAGAAATATGAATTAAACTGTAAATTATTAATTATAAATTTAACTAATAACGATTTCGACATGAAATGTTATTATGAAGGGTGTGAAGATATATATTAATAATTTGTTACCCAACATCTGTATTTCTTAATAGAATTTCTTTTATCAATTAAGAAATTTTCTTCTTTCCAATCAAATCTGATAATGATGTTTTTAATATTTTCATTATTAAGAATTTCATTAAGTAAATTTTCTGTAAAAACGCAATATTTAAGATCAGATGATATGACTTTTAAATACACTAAAGTTTTCGAATTTTTAAATTTTTCATAAATAGTTTTAATGTTGTAGATATTTATATTAATAAAGCTAAAATATCTTAATTTTTTCAATGATACAAAAAAATCTAATATTTCATCTTTTTCTTCGGCAGTAAATGTAATATTTCTCAACCTGATATTTGTGATATTTTCTGAATTGATTTTTTTAAAAATATCGAGATTGGTAGGGTTATAAAATGAAGAATGGCCTTGACTATTTCGTTTTCCATGTCTAAGGGCAATTCTATACATGTTATTGAATTTAAGTAAATCACTAGGATGGGTGGTATCTATATAAATATTTCGTAATTGATTATGTTTTGAATT